TTATTATTATTATTATTATTATTATTATTATTATTATTATTATTATTATTATTATTATTACTATACTCACCGTTTTATGTTAACATAGTGTTCAGCATTTGCATGGGGAATGGTGGGAGATTTGAATGGAATGAAATCTTCATTAACCGCAATAAGAGGAATATTATGTTACAGTTGGGTCAAATTTGAGGACATTGAAAATATCCAGACATTTGTTTTTCAAACAGTTTCAGAATATCATTAACTGCTACAATACAAAGCTTTTTTTTCACCTAAAAACCTGCAAATTCTAATTCGATTTTTGGCAGTTTATTTTATGCACTGCGTCTGGAACAGGCATAAATTTAAGTTGGGAAGGGTTTTTAAAAAAGTACTTAAATAAAACAAACTATGAAGACTATGGTTGTGTTTTGTTGATCAAATCCTGCAGTATGGTTATATAGGGAGCTTGCAAACTTTGAACGCTAGTTGTTGAAAAAATGTGGAAGCCTTAATATTTTCAGTAATAAAAACTTACGAAATAATACAATTTACGAAAACTGGTTAAAAAAAAAAAACAATGTGAAAAAAGCAGTCTTTATGTCCTGTTTCCTCTCAGTTGCCCAGGAATGACAATTCTATCCATTCAAATCCCTCACTGTTACTCATAATTACACCGAAGACAGTTATAAAAGTAAACGTTATATAAAAGGAGAAATTAGAAAGAACGCAACTTCAGTAGCAAAACTCCCCTCCCCCCTCACCAAGGGTTGGGGGTCTACTTTTCTTTTTTTACATCTTAGGAGGGAAGGAAAATATATATTACCATGACAGGCTGAGGCTCATAGAACTAGCCTGGTGATCATGATTTGGGGAGCTAATAAACACAAACATATCTACTCTATATTCACTTTGTTACCTTTATAAATAATATTGTAGTACCCACAAGAGCACCTTTATATTCTTCATTTCGTATAAAGAGAAACCTATTATTTCCCCTTACGGTTTTTCCGAGTCCAGAACTATAATGTGATTGAAACAATGATTTTTTGGCAGTAAAATAAAACAATATTGCAAGGCTTGGAGAGAAAGTGGTCAGCTTTTGTCAGTAACGTAGAACGTCTATATTTGTGACGAAAGCTTAATATGTAGGTCATACTCAGGTGAAGAATGAGATTATGTGGTCTACCACATAGAGTCACGAAATATCTTACGTTTCTTTTGTAGATGTCTCACAAACAACAACACAAATAGAGGACCACCTTGAAAAATGTCACCCATCACCAAAATGAAAACAATATTTTATGCTTCCGTTTCAGAAATAAAAGAACGTCTATTTGATAGATCAAAAACTGTTAAGTAAAATGGATAAATTAAACTTGTTAATAAAATTTTTTTTAGGTCCAATGATAATGTTTGAAAGTATTAGAAATGGAAGTTACAGTACTGAAGTCTTCTCTTATTCCTTTATTTATTTAGATTTTTACTGTCTGCTGAAAGCTCCAACAAAACAGGAACATTATAGTGGTTGACCTGCTCGCCCCCCCCCCCCCCCCCCGGCTCTCTCTCTCTCTCTCTCTCTCTCTCTCTCTCTCTCTCTCTCTCTCTCTCTCTCTCTCTCTCTCTCTCTCTCTCTCTTTCTCTCTCTATCTCAAAGTTTTCTCGCTTCACATCCCAAGAATAGACAAGGCTTTCAAAAGAACCTGAATATAACTAACTAGAAAATAAATGTCCTCTGCCTAGAACATTGTTGCCAATTCCTGGTGAAAAGAAAATGTATAATTAAGCACAGGAACTCTCTACTTCATACAGACTTACGGCTTCGTCTTGCATGTTTGACTTTAGCAAAGCGACAAGAAAGAAAATAAAGAATCCAAAATAAAAGACACCAACGAAACCGATACAGTGGAAGTCATGACTTTGTATAAAAACTTGGAAGAAACCCAAGCCTCCTCCACGCATTGTCATATCAGCCCCCATTGTGATCATAGAACCCCCAGCTTTCCCAAGTTCGCAATGAAGAGAACTACGTGTATCATTAATCAATAGTGCTCCATATAAGACGACGAACCTAAGAGCTCTCACTGGGAAAGGAAAATGGAACTCAGAACTACGCGAAAACCTCCCAAGAGACGCTGGTAAACGTGAAGAAGCTGAGGCCATCTAACATGGTTATGTCATAGGCCGACTCGCGCCCACCTCTTGTGCTTTGAGCATTGTTCAGCTCAAGTAGAGTGTGAGCGGACCTCGGCACTCAGCTTTGTTCACACATGGAGTTCGGGCAATCAGCTGACTGTTCTTCTGTCACTCTGATTCAGAGAGACCCTCGTAATTAGTGACATTTGGGGGGGGGGCTTCGTTTGGGGTTTTTTTCCCTTTCTCTCTCTTCTAAAGTACCCATCTCTATTTGAGCGTCTCAGGACAGCATCAGACGGATAGAGGGTCAAAATGTAGGACTTAACAGATAAAACGATGAGACTGTGGAGTTGGGTGTTGATGCTGTTTTTACTATTGATGGAGAAGCTGTGTTGTGTCTTACTTTGTTCGTACTTTTTCACCAAGGCTGTTTCGGGGGATCTGTCTCTAGTTTTTCTTTTGTTGCTGTTGAATTTGCTTGGTTTTTTGTTTGTTTGTTTGTTGTTTTTGTTGTTTTTATTTTTTTGGGGGTGGCTCTTTTATTCAGTGTATAAACATTCGGTGTATACAGTATGAGCTTTTTGTGGGAGTAAAAACATTGATGAACCAAATTTTAGCTCATTTAGGCACCACATTTTGACCCGATACTCATCTGATCTTGTCTTAACACACTCGTATGGAGATAAATACTTTTGGCGAGAGTATCCTTCGCCAAAACGAGATAGATAGATAGGTAAATAGATAGATAGATAGATAGATAGATAGATAGATAGATTGATAGATAGATAGATAGATAGATAGATAGATAGATAGATAGATAGATAGATAGATAAATAGATAGAAGGATAGATAGATAGATAGATAGAAAGAAGTAGAGAAGGGAGAAAGGCAGAGAGATTTGCACACAGACATCTAGACAAACTGCAGAGAGACGGATAAATAAAAGGAAGAAAAGAAAACGACCCCAAAGCACCCCCATGACGACTTTAACATACGTTACAAAATAGGGTAGTCGAAATGTGTAATCTTCCTGTTGTATCTACGTTCCAATATCCTGGGGTGTAATTTTAAACTTTGTAAAAATAGAAACAAATTTAGCGAACATAAAATTCAACCTCTCAATGAAGAACAGGTTCAAAAATAATTCTTATTCTAACTGATACACGTGAATTAAGCAGATTTCTAATTTTGAAATGCAATGTTCAGTATTTAGATTGTTTAACAATACAACCATTTCACAAACAGCAATAGATGGTAATGAATGCTGAGTTGTACAATGTCAATCTTATTGGTTTCCAAATAAAAATTTCTAAAACTATAAAATCGTTTACAAAACATACGTTAAGCAGTACATAGATCAGTGCTCTTTCGCAGCAGGAGATAATCGTGTGATATGTTTTGCGGAGATAATTTTAAAAAAATACATTTCAGTGACAGTCAGCACTAAACAACCTCTTTAAGTCGCGCCCCCCCCCCCCTCCTTTTCCACTCTCCATTCAAAATCAGTCCCTCTCCGGCAGTCGCTGGTGAAGGTCACGAAGTCCCGGAGCATGTCTTGCCTAACACGAGTTTTCCTTCAGAGCACGAGGTCCCAAGCTTCACAACATCTTCGTTCCTGAAACTTTGTATTTGATTACGCCACCCCCCCCCCTCCCAAGTCGAGACTGAAAGGATACTGTCTTCTCGAAAGGCGAGAAAAATTGAATTCCTTTGATACTTGTATTTCGAGCTTCCGCCCTTTCCCGTGTCTATTAGGAACAGCCCGTATAGAAGTCTGTTATTTTAGACGTCAAGCCAAGTTCCAGGAAATTTGTTTCTTGAGCAGCTGGACAAATGTCTCCTTGCACAGCAGTTGTATTGTGGGGACACAGCATCGTCTCAACGATGAGTAAATGATCAAAGCTGCACTGGGGGTTTCAGAAAACCGTGTTCATCCTGAGGAGATTTGATGGAGCCCTGCTCCGCGACGTTAGGTGACGCTGTAGGGTTTGTGTCTACCGCACTGAGCTCCATCCTCTCCTCTCCCATCACGCCACTCCGTGTGTACGTCTGGCTGGTTCGCGGGAACACGCTGTTCTCGTTACACACCGACTTGTTCATCTCCACGTTTGACAAGCACTTGAAGGCCTTGACGAAACTCTTGCGGAAGTTGTCGCTGAGGAATGCGTAGAGGAACGGATTCAGCATGCTGTTGGCGAACGAGAGGACTGTGAAGCCGTTGAACACAAGGATCATGGCGTCACTGGTGATTTTTACGTCGTTGAACACAATGTGCACTTGGAAACACCAGTAAGGCAACCAACAGACGACGTAGATGGTGATGACGGTCAGAACGAGGCGAGTGACACGACGGTGCGATTTCCTTTTCTCTTTCGATTTCTTGGCTGGCCCCACGTGGCGGAGCCGGAGAATGACGAGGACGTAGAACACAGAGATGAGGGAAACAGGGATGGCGAAACCAAGAATGAATGAATACCAAATAAAAGCTTTATCAGGGGGGATAAGCTGATCTTTAGGCCAGAAGATGCTACAGGATTCTTTTCCAGGAAACCGACGATGCTTTTCCGTTCTAGAGTAGAGGATGATGGGTAGCATGACTAGGAACGACAGAGACCACACACACAGGCAAAGAAATAAAGCGATGCGCGGGGTTCTGTACTTGAGAGATCTGATCGGGTGACACACAGCCAAGTATCGGTCTGCGCTCATTACGCACAGGTTGAAAGCGCCGCCGAAGAGATTAATCGAATACAGAACGAAGTATATCTTGCACATGGCGAAGCCAAAGATCCAGTGCTCCATGAGGGTGGTGGTGGCCATCATTGGGAGGATGACGATAAAGAGTATATCGGAAAGGGCTAGATTGAGGATGTACATGTTAGTCACTGTCTTCATCTTTGCAAACATGAGGACGACGTAGATGACCAATCCGTTACCCGCCAGGCCCAATATGCAAATAAGGATGTAGCAAACGATCATGACGTAAGGTAAAACTTTCGCGTAGCCGCTTCTCTCTGGCATGCCAGTATCGTTGAGGTTCGATTCGGTGACGTTGTCCGAAATATTGCATGTTGGTAGAGTTGTTAGAACGTTCAGTAACGTTTCCAAAGTTTCGTTGGGACTGAAACTGTACGCTGTGTATGGGCTGTCCATGGTCGGGATTGGCTTAGCCATTAGAATCCTTGTTTAGGCACAGGCAACGGTCATCTGAAAAGGGAAAATACGGAAGAAATTAACTTATTATTATAGTTAGACTGATGGATCTTTTAAAACGAGCTGCAAGAAAAAAATCTTTTGTCGTTCTGTGGGGGGGGGGGGGGGTTCCTTTCTTTACGTCACAATTGATCTTCAACCAGTACAATTCCTGTCCGTCTGTAACGTTTATACATTTCTTTTTCTTATCATTTTGAAGTCCTTCCATATTAGTCTTTTGTACTTATGTGCATGTTTTTGTTAGAAAGCAGGCCTAGGAAGTGTTTGTCTCTCTGAATATCATGAAGTGGAAACTTTTATATCAGCAAAAACGTGCTCAGATTCAAATTCTCGTATATCAAATCTGTTTAAATTGCAATTTTTCCGTGTCTAGTTGCAAAAGCATAATAAATATTTCATTGAATCCCTCTGTAAGAAATACGTTGGCTTAACTTTTTTTCAAAGTGAAGAAAGACTTGTTAACATCGACAAAAATAATCCAGCCAGTCAGCCAAAAGATAGTGACATTTCAAAAATCGATATCTTTGTGCACATTAGAGGGAAATTGTGAATTAATATATGAGACGGCCAGACTCGTTAAATGGGGAATTCACCCCATCATCTCTTCCGTTCTTTCACAAAGCCTCAAGCCACGTTGTGAATTATGCAAGCGTCGAGAAATTTTCAGTCCCTGAGAAGACTAAAAAAATCTGGTTGGAGTTTTTATCGCCGAAAAGAATTCTCTAACTACCGCCAGAAGGAAAGACAGTATAATACAAGTTTTTGCTTCGTTGGGTTGAGATGCTCTCATAATCTCGGTTGGGTTGGTTACTCTCATCGAAAAATTAAAGAAGAAAATGGAGGCGGAAAGACGATAAGGAAGAGCAGAACAGTAATGTGCGAGTACACATAAACAAAGCTTTGTGTCTTGCTGGGGTCTGAAGGATTTTGATATGTTTAACTTGTCAAAATATAGCATTTTGTGTGGTTCTAAAAGAATGAAAAAGGATTATTTTTGTAACCTCTTGCCTTTCGTGTTGAATTTAGTTACTGTTAAATTCATTTTGTCTTACCTCTTTTTTAAAAGAATTTCAGATCTCAAAAGACAGTCTCGTCATTATGATATTTAAGGTTTGAACATGAATCAGAGGGACATGGCCGTTTAAAGTGAAAAAACCAACGGGGGCTGGGGGGTGGGGGAGAGAGAAAGAGGGTGTGAGTTAGTGATATATATATATATAT